TGTCTCGGTTGAGACTTAGTTTTGTTTTACTTTATTTAGCTAAGGCAAAAGTATTATTTTCTTTAAGTGTAAAATCTAAGAGTAAACAGTTCCTGTGGGTCGAAAGACTAATTCTGTTATGTTAAAGCCAAAATTTGGCCGAAAGTAAAATAACATCATATTCTTGTATTAATGAAAAATTTAGTTTCAGTGCCGCCAGCTTGGCGAAGAAAGCGTGAAGTAAAATTTTATTTTTATCTTATTCATTTTATGGTAAATTGTAAAAATCATATGTATTAGAATTTTGTAAATATAGGTAAATACTTGAAAGTTATGTAAAAGTAGAATTTAGACTAGAAGCATAAAATTTTAGATGCTAAAAGTAAATGCTCAAAAGAAACTAATTCAAATCTAAGTATTAAACAGTAGATAAAATCATGCTTTAGAGCGAAAGCCTGCATGTCTAAAGATGCATGAGGGGGGATTTAGAATGAATGTGTTTTGTAGGGTTCTCCACCTACACTTGAATTTTAAGAATATTAAACATAGCTCATCGAGTTCCAGTATGTCGGATTAAGGTGTGTCAGATTTGGTTATTGGAATTCTAACAAATCATTGTGGTTAGGGGAAGTGTTGTAATACAAAAAGACGAAGATTCCCGTTTGACACCACACATGGTGGAGAACCAGGGTAAAGTTAAATTCATGTTTGAATATTTGAATGAATGTGAATGTAAGCAGTTAATTAAGGAAAAGAAAAGGATCGAAAACGAAAATGTATCGAGTGTTAAGAAAGTGTAAATCATAATGTACTATTTCGAATATACTTATTCCTTCCAGATGCTGGAAGGAAGAGAAAAGATTGATTGCTGAAGACCAGAAAGGATCCTGTAAGAAGATATGGTAATTTTTTCATCTACAGAAATGATTGATTTTATAGGAAAATGTTTGTTTTATGTAAACGGAGCTGTTGAGTTTTAAGTTAGAATATGGAAACTTTTTCAACAGGTCGTTTCTAGGACCTGCTTCCAAGTTTACCAAATTCTGGCAGCGGCAAATGTAAGGTTTATATTTATTTTAACTAACATTTATTTAAAGCTATCTTTCCTGTCAAGCCTTTACTTTGCCTTAGAATTGCCAATGCCAGAGTATGCAAATTGTAGTAGAACGCGCAGAGTATTCAAATTTTAGCAGAAGTAAATTGAGTTAAATAGAAGGGAAACGAGATTATAAGGGTGCTTCTTGAATCGCGAGCGTGAAAGTTGCTAGGTAGAAAATTTAAGAACCGCGCGTTTCGGCCTGTGTGCCTATTTCGGCAGTTCGTTGAATCTTTTAACTTCTTAATCAGTAAGCTTGCTGAATCTCAGCTATATCTTAGAACGCGGTTAAGTTAGTTACGATTATAGAGCCTCGTAGATAGTGACTTCGTTATTTATTCATCCTGTCATTTATTTTTAGTTGTACTTTTCTATTTTTTGTTTAAAACCGCCGGGTCGGCGTAGTTTTGTGAGCGTCAAGTGAACGCAACTGTGATTTCTAAAGTGAAATAAAAAGGGATTTAAACCCTTCTTACGAGTTTGTATAATTTACAGTTCATATCAGTCACTACTACTGTTGCGGACAAGTTGGGGCCACGCAACATCATAAACTGAAATACAAATATATGCAGTGAGCTACAGTACTATATGTATACATTTATAATCAAATCAATAATATATATACAATAAGTCAAGATTCGCAACCATCAAATGATATGTATATATATGTGTGTGTGTGTGTGTGTGTGTGATAGATTCTGTTAGTCAAATACAGGCGGTTGAATTCGTAATGAACAGCAAGAATTTTGATAGCTTATAGATGTTGAAACTTCGATCCACAATGAATAAGAAAATTTGGCAGTCGAGGTAGATTTAATTCAATTTTTCTTTCAGCAAATATGTTGCAGCCACAAACAAGTTGGCAGATTATACATGCCTACTCCAAAAGTTTAAATTTTTGATAAATTTGTAGTAAGAAAAAAGGAGCAGACAGACTGCAGTCCAGCTAGGCTAAAGCGTAGAAAGCAAATCGTTATGCTAAGAGTGTAATCTTAATTCACACTGAGTTTTGGTTCTCAATACAATTTTATTTGATAATTAATACTGCTGTATTAATATTAGATGTTTTAGTTCCATTTACAGCATTAGAATTACGTGCGAGTCATATTACATGGATTAATCTCGAAATGACGCAGTGCAGAGAGATTACTATTTTTAGAATAGAGAAGGAAAGTTGAGCTGCTAATTCAATCTTTTGCATATTCTCTATTTTTCTTCCACACACACATATATATATGTACATATATCATTCGATTGTTGTGAATCATGACTTTGATCTTTCTGTTAATTTTATTTTCAAAATTATATAAAGGGAGTATAAAATTTTGTAAAGAGAATTTATACAAATATTTTCTAATATGTTTGTAGATACTGACATGCATTGAGAAGGACAGGGGCTTAGAGGCTTCTAGGCTTCTAGATATTAAAAAAAAATTATTAAGTTTATTCGCATCGAATTTTATGTAAAATTACTCTACATGCTACTAAATGGCAGCATTTAGTTCTGTACATTTCATCAGTGCTAATTAACTGTCTGTTTATGTTTTTAATTACTAGTTTTTATGGAAATTTGATCTACAGTTCTATTTTTATGTATTGTTTTTTTATAGGTATTCTGTATATGGATACCTGCTCTATGTACGATTTCTATGTAGGGATACTCCGCTACGGCATAATTCTGTTGCTTTTGTTTATGGGCTTTTGTCTACTGTTTTGTGCAGCGATTTTGCCAAAAGGTCCCTTTATTGGTCTGTAGATTTTTATGTACTGGTTTTTACAGTAAGTTGGCCCTGTGGCCCTATATACAAAAATACGTTACGATGCATAGACCTACGGAATATCTATTTTTTATGGAGATTTGGCCTATGGATATGCATAAAGTTCTGATTTCTGGCTATGGGTTTTTACTGGGATTTCGTTTATGGTGCCTACAGTTTCTATGGGTTTTTACGGAGATTTAGCCTACTCATATCCGTACAATTGTCTGTTTATAGGTTTTTTGCGGGGATTTGGCCTATGGATACCCGTACAGTTAGTTATATGGGTTTCTGTTTATGGGTTTTTATGGGGATTTGGCCTATGGGTAACATTTGCACGGGTTTCCATTTGTGGGTTTTTACGGGGATTTGGCGTACAAGTACCCGCAGAGCTGTACGGGTACTCGTAAGCCAATTTCCCGTAAAAAAAAAATTATGGGTTTCTACGTGGCCTTTTTAGCCTTTTTAACATTTAACATTTATGACTGTTATATTAAAAAAAATCTTACTTTTTTTCGTGGTACCTGTATAAAAGATAAGTACCAAATTCTGTTTTATCAACTTTACTTTTTACTAGTTCTCCACTTTTGTTCACAAGATGAATCCTATTCTACGAAATTTTTACGTAATTCATTCGGAAACTGAAAAAAAAGTGCTATTTTCTATATATGTTTGTACATAAATTATAATTTAAATAAGTCTCTCCTACATACGCATAAAACCTCGCTGCATTTTCTCATTTTGATCTGAAACTGTTTTCAAAAATAGTAATGACATTTTCTGGAGATCAATCCTGTCGTTTTATATATAATTTATTTGAGTAATAAAATGTCTTTTTACTCTTAATAACTTACCTTACTGGAGAAACTTTATAAAATTCATGAATATCTAATTAAAATATTACATTATATGAGTCATCCTTTTTGCTATTACATCTAGTTTATGTCTATCGTTTCTGATAAACCACAGTGTATGTAGTATGCATGTATTTTGGAAATAAATATAAAAAATGTTTTATCAATATGATGTCATTTAAAAAATTCTTGTTGAATGCATGTGATAAAAATCATAGAACCAAGTATCATTCTTCAAAATGTTCTTCAGAATAGTTGGCCTGGTAACCATTATTAACCAGTATAAAATCTTTTAAGTTATATATATTGAGGATATTTTGCAATGTTCAACAGTTTGACACCAAAACTGTCTTGAAATGACACTGTTTATGGGAAAATGCTATTAATTCTAGATATGTGAGAAACAGTCAGTTCATACATATCAGAGATCTACGTAAATAACTTTTGTAACTTATGAGAAACTTTTTATAAATAGGATGTGCTTACTTCTTCAACAAGAAAAACTCAGAAACCGTACAGGTTTAACTTCGCAACAAGAATCCTATTTTCTTAGTTAAATTTAACGAAGAGTCAGACCAAATTTTAAGAATTGAGGATCTGAATTTAGATTTTTTTTAAACCGCAGATTATAACATTTTAGAGAAAGTTGCTTTAATTTTTTACTTTTATGTGCAAAAATCGTTAATCACATGTATTTCATTTTTTTTTTATTTTAAAACTTTTCCCGACTATGAATGGTTTATATTTTGCAACATCATCTAATAGCACGTATACGTTCGCCTAAAATCGCATTATCACATCATTGTACATTATTACAATAGTATACATTTGCCTAAAATCATATTATCACATTATTGTACATTATTACATTATTGTACATTTGCTAAAAATCACAAGTTACGGTATGAACAGGATTCATTACCAAATCAGATTGTAGGTAATTGTTATTTGCTTCTTTTTTAAGATTATTGTAAAGGAATATTATTCTTTGAAAAATTATGTAAATGAGTAAATGGTAAGGCAAGACTGATTGCATTTTTCGTCGGCCTCCATGAATTTAAAGCCCTTGTGTAGCCATGATAGGTGCAGGATTAGTGGCAGACATGAGAATTGTATCAATATTATTTTTAATTTAAGGCCATGAGATAATGCTTACGTAAATTTGATTATGTAGTCTTGCAAATGTTTGAACATCACTCTAAGCAGATATTTATTTTACAATCTTCGAGAAGTGGTTAAATTTATTAAATGCTATGCGAGTAACTGTCGTAACGAAAACATACCAAACATACAATACTAATTCCAGATACTTACTTCATTAGCATTCGGCAATAAATGCAGCAGAGCTCTTAGCTTTTCTGCTCCTATTTCCTTATGCCTGCATTCTTTAATACATCCTAAAATTTCGTCCAAGCCTCCTCTGAATTGCTTAAGAAATATGCCTATGCTTAAACTTCGTTTGCTGTCCAGCAGTGATACCTTAAAAAGATAATAATAGTAGAGGAAACTAAGTATTAACTTGCCACGCAGATCATATATTAACACAGAATTAAAGAAAATAATTTCAAGGTATAGATTTATGCGCCCAAAGCCTAAAGTGTAAAATAACTACAATGAAGTAAAATGACTCATTTTGTTGAAATTTAGCTGTTCTCAAAGCATCGAGCATCTTAAATTTAGGTAAGACACCACTGTCGCAAAATTAGTTAAGAAAACTGAAGATGAATTGCAAAATGAAAATACTAAAGTAGAACTGTTGCAAGAATCCCTTGCAGTGTTGATCTAGAGAGAAATTAGTTTATTAAGATATGATAAATTTATTGATACACAAAACACTGTGTAAGAGTTAGAAAAGAAAATAGAACTTTCCTTAGAATGCAGCGAAGGTACCATTAGATGTAATTTGAAAGTTACTAGATACATTCAAAATGTCATTAAATTTGAAACAGCTCCACAATTTTCTGAAATCGAAGCTAAGTATAGTACTATATTACCTTAAAAACCTTCAATGGTGATTTATGTAAATTTAGCGAATTTTGGGCTCAGTATAGTACTATATTACCTTAAAAACCTTCAATGGTGATTTATGTAAATTTAGCGAATTTTGGGCTCAGTATAAAGTGGCCACTCATGGAAACAATATACAGGGTGCGGCAGCATTCATAGTAGGATATTAAAAACACACCATGAGGCAGTAACTGTAATTTATTTATTACCTCTTATGTCAATTAATAGTTAAAGGTGTGCCATTTACTAATGTGTAAGTCATTGCCCATTGCGTGGATTACTTTTTGAATATAATGCCTGTCAAATGATGCCCCCTCTGCACAACACATTCATCTAGGCGGCATTGAAAGCTTGCCATAACTCGGCGAAACGTATTCCCTGGGACATTGCCGACGGCAAGTTCTGATGCGATTCCTTCAACTCAGGAATGGTGGCACAACGTGTTCGGAAACGCTTCTTGCTTCAGGTGGCCCCAAAGGGAAAAAGTCTGCACATGAAAGATCGGGTGAGGCGAGGCGGCCTAGGAAATGTCCCCAAAACGGAAAATTTGGAACTGGAAACCCAAATCTGGAAATGTCTGTCGCAATAGTCCGTCCATCTGGAACTTTCTCCATGACGTCCCAAGTTGAAATGCTGCCGAAACAGACACAGGGTAGCAATAACAGAGTAGTTATTCTTGAAATAACTTTCAACAACAAAGGCACGATGCTGTGCACTCCACCGATCCATATCACTGTCACACTCGAAATGGCAGCTCATTAATACACGAATGCGGCATGAGCTGGCGCGCATTCATGCAGTACGTCATTGTACTACGCAAGTCAAATTACGCTATGAACGCTGCCGCACCCTGTACTTCAAGGTGAGAAATTTAACTATTTAAGATCGCTTCTCACTGGTTCAGCTGTAAAAGCTATAAGCGGATTAAGGTTAACAGGAGAAAACTATACAAAAGCCATCGAAATTTTATGACCGATTTGAAAAGAAAGCAGTATTAGTTAGTGCACATATGAATGTTCTCTTATCCCTAGAGCCTGTAAGTCATTCAAGTGATGTATCCAATCTAAGAATATTTTATGATGAAATAAAAGTTCAAACTAGAAATTCAGAAATATTATATTCTTAATTTTAATTCTTATGGTAGTCTACTACTTCCCATTTTATATAAGTATATACCATAATATTTAGTATTACAGTTTAATAGAGAAGAAAATTTCAGCAAAGAAAAAACAACATGAGACCTTATCATCATTTCGAAAAGGGAGGAAGTAAAGAAACAAGAAGTGTCTGAAAAGTAATAAACCTTTAGTCTTAACCAAGAAACATTTTTGATTTTCCTGAGTTAAAAAGTCATCAAAAATAATTAAATTTCTAAGTGATAGATCTAATTCGTTTAGAAAAATAAAATTGTTTAAATCCAAAGTAAACTTTACCTCTTTCTTTTTAAATTTATTGTGCAATTTTAATAATTTTTTCTTATTTTTTGAAGGAAACTGAAGAAAAGGAACTGAAGAATAATTTACAATATCTTCTTTTTCTACTCCTTCATAGTATGATTCTAGAGCAATTTAGTATATTTCGGATCATATAATTGACTTCCATACACATACAGCGTATCAAATTTTAAGAAATCGTATATTAAATTTAGTGTTAGATTACTTTTTCTGAACGCGATGAACCTGCAATTAAGAGTTTAAAAGACCATTTTGGCAACAAAGAATGATGATCTGAATCAACAAATTCTTCTAATTCAGTATAATCATTAGTCCAAAGTACTTTGTCCCTGAAGGACTATTGTTTTCGTTTTGCGATTTTGCGTTGAATCACTTTAAATGTCCGTTTCACTTTTCAAACTGTTGCCACCAAATGTTAGAGTCCTGCATTATATTTGAAGAAATTAAATAATGAAAAATCTGCATAAATGTATGTATATTTCTCGCATTGTGATAGAACAACTGTACATAGAGCCATCGAATTTTGAATGACGTAATCCTCCTATGAATATGGGCATGTGGAAGACCAAATTTGAAATTTGGAATTTGTTTTATTATCGATTTCATATTTTGTAAAACTTTAACGAATTTTTTAGTATAACTTTAGATTAACTTGATCCCTATAACAAGAACTCCTTATCTTGATAATATTGCTTTACATTTGATACGGCTTTCGTGTTTGAGGTCATTTTCTTGCAAAAAGATTAGCAAAGATATCCGAGAAAGATTCAACTGAGAATTTTTCTTCTTATTAGTGGTTATAGAACTTTAAGTTACAGGGCTACTTATCTCTTGCAGAAATTCCGCCTATTGATTTTGAAATTGAATATAACAATAATAATTTTCGAGGCAATGGCAACTGATACTTTGGAAGACTGCATAAATATAAATGTCCCCTCCCCCGAAATTCCTAATCCAATTACTTTAGAGCCCATAAATTTCTGCGATTATAAAGAGACTATTCAAATGTGTTTTCATATGGTTTTCTTTACAGATGGCAGAAAAATGAACAATAAGGTTGGACTTGCATTTGTTCATTTTGAAGATCAATTTGAGGTTTGCTACACTGCTGGCCACCGTAAATGCAACAACCTGAAGGAAGCACGCAAATAACATGAAATTTACAACATGCATTAGCGGAGGTGAGATATGCAAATGATTAGAATTCCAGCGCAAACGCACATCACGCGTGCCTGTGGCGCCACTTCAAAGCGCTGTTTAAGGCTTGGAGTTTTTGACGATTTCAAATTCGAAAATTGTGTTTTTCTTGGGATATTTTTTCAAAAAAAAAAACGATCAATTATGCCTCGTAGTAAACAGCGATCATCGTTTAACCAAGTATACGAGTTCGACAGAGGAAGGATATTGGCTTAGCGAGACTGTGGATTATCCTTCAGGGTGTGTGTATGTGTGTGTGTATTTAATTATGGCAAAGCACACTAGGGCTATCTGCCTAAGGAGAGGGGATGCCTTCGTGGAGGACTTTCTAAAGGAAACTGGCTCGTATACACGTTACACATGGGGAAAACCACGAAAACGCCCATGCAGCCAGCCCGTTCGCGGGATTCGAACCTCGGACCGAACTACCAGTGTTCAGCGACTTTACCGCTCGGCCGCTGGTGGGCCCTTATCCTTCAGGGAAATCGGTAGTCGTGTTGGACGAAACCAAACAACTGTAATGCGGATATGTGACCGTTGGATGCAGGAGGGTACGACGGACCATTGTGTTCGATCGCATCCACCTAAGTGCACCACATCACGTGATGACAGGAATATTATGCGCATGGCAGTGACGGATCGATCAGTCACATCACGAACCATAACACAGCACATTCAGTCTGTAACGCATCATCCAGTGTCTGCGCGTACCATTCGACGCCGTTTACAGCAGAGTGGTCTACACTTGACGCAGAACCACAGACGTCTCCACCGCCAATGGTGCAATGAAAGAAGAATGTGGACGGCAGAATGGATTGAAATTGTTTTTACTGACGAGTCACGCTTCTATCTGCAACACCACGATGGTCGGATTCGAGTCTGGAGACGCCGTGGAGAGAGGATGCTGAACAGCTGCGTTATGCACCGCCACAGTGGTCCTGCACCGGGTATTATGGTATGGGGCGTGGTATTGGATATCACTCTCGCACTCCTCTAGTACGCATTGCTGGTACTTTAAACAGTCAGCGCTACATCTCCAAGGTGTTAGAGCGAGTTGTCCTTCCTTACTTTCAGGGCTTGCTCACAACCATATTTCAACAGGATAATGCGCGACCACACACGTGGCACGCATTGTCGAAGGGTTCTTCGTCAATCGCCAGATTGAATTGCTTCCCTGGCCGTCTCGCTCTCCGGATCTTTCGCCGATACAAAACATGCGGTCCATGGTTGCTGAACGATTGACTCAGATTACATCTCAAGCTGCCACACCAGATCAACTTTGGCAACGTGTGGAAGCTGCTTGGTCTGCTGTACCCCAAGAACACATCCAAAGTCTCTTTGAATCAATGCCGAGTCGTGTGTCTTGTCTTTCTTGGTGTTGCAATTTGGGTGGCCAGCAGTGTATTTTAAGCACCGTGTTCGGAATGAATGCATAGATTTTCGAGCAGAACTTCTCTGTATTTATCTTGCCATCAAATAGACCAAGGGCAATGGAATAGCATTCTAAAGATACCTTATTTGTTCTGATTCTCTTTCTTCTCTTCACCTTTTGAACAATAGTAACAGCAGAGAAAAATTAGTAATCGAAACTCAATTAACGGTTAGTTCGCTTAGAAATAGGGGAATTTATATCCGCTTTGCCTATGTGCGTGCTCATCTTGGATTCTATGGAAATTAAAGAGTTGATTTCTTAGATAGAGATGTCTTAAATTTACCCATAGATATCAATATTAGCATAGTAAATAGTTATTGGAAGTCCTTTCATTATAAGAAGCTTTTAGCTAAGTAGAATGAAGAATATGTTTCATATTGTAATGCTGA